AGGTAAGTGAATACTATGTGATCACTGCTCACTATGCAAATGCACACTAGCTACTGGCGGTACGACGTCGCAGCGTGACACATGACCGTAAATCTTGAAGCTATCGTACAGATTAGCATAATAGTGCTTTTTATCTAGGAAATGTGTAAATCGGGCGATAATGCATACGTTAGGCTTTTACATTGTATCCCATTTAAAAATGTTTCGATCATATCGGGCCGACGATACAATGGTATGTACGTTTCTGTCGGTGTGGAAGTTGACCTTGAAATGCTGAAGAAAAATGGGAACGTAGTATAATTCGAAAAGCACATAGTGATCACATCAGTTTCTCGAAAAGGTTAGTCAGCGTATGTCGTGAATTGTACTAATGTTTTGTGTGACGTGTATATTTAAATAAAACCGGATATTATAATACAAAATTGAAATTGAGATTCACCCTACTTGCGAAACAAAATATATGTTTGAATATATAAAAATAAAAAAAAATATAAAGTTAGGTGGAAAAGAAAAAAAATAAAACGATACAAGACGATTATCTCGTGTCCACGTGTGCTTGTTCACATCGAGACTGAACATATGCGGCGAACTCATACATAGTAAACTAAGCATATAAAATAAATTTATCTTTCAAAATATTTGTACGTTTCTAATGTAAATTAAGAACAGCAGTATTCCATATTTATAATACATTTTGTATCGTGTCACTGGAGAAAATACCTTACTTGTATGCATCAGTAATCTTCCTCAGTAGCTACTGCTAAGGAAGATTCCTAACATATCTTGAATGTATTCACTGAGATTTGCACCAGCCCAAGATGTCGCACGACCTCGTACACAGTTAGGAGGTGATGTAAAAATACTGTTATATTTATCAGAGAGCTTTTATAATAAGCTTCCTTCAGCCTTGACACAAATTTAAGCCTATATCTGTTGATGTGAGTGACAGTGTTGCCATTGTGCAAAACAAAGTGTATATATTTATATATATCCATAAAATTAATGTGTAACATAACCTAAATATTAAGTACTTTTTTGTTATTTTTTTTAAGTATATATTCTATTTTCAATATATAAGGTGCAATTATCTTCACATTAAAACTTAGAAGTCTTACTTCTTTATATGATTTTAAGGTGTTGTCACTTGTATGTTTAAAAATACATAACCTCAAAAAACAGTAGTATACTACAAATAAATGTGGCTATAGATGAATTTATAATTTCAACATATAGTAACACTGATAGGATCTGTGAGAACCTTTAGAATTTTTTAAGAAGAACTGTATTATTCTACTGCATGATAACATTGCTGATCAACGATACATATTAGTTGGAATGTTTGGTATCTATCTTATTAATCATATTACTTATTTCAAACAATACACCACATTTTGAAAGAGACACACTTCTAGACAGTGAACAATATTCGAAAATTCATAAACAACTTTCTTGACTAGCTGCGAAAGAATTTATTTCTTACTCTAAAAAAGTAGTATAAAGTTATGCAAAGTAACAAGGAACTTTCCATCATTTATTGTAGTTGAGCATGTATTTAATTGAAATAAAGTTCAAATTTATAAAGGAAATATTGGAAAAGCATCTAATTCATATACCTTATCTGCAAAATATTATAAAACATAGTAATATTTTGATATTTTTTTTTATAGACTCAAGACTTAATTAACTATGGATCCTGATGTCCACAAGAAGATATTCGAATTTGAAATTTTTGTGAACGACGTGTTAAAAGCCGATCTTGCACAATTTGCTAAAAAACTCGATTCCAAGAATGCTGATGTCGCAGAGTTTCTACAATTGAAATCAATAATAACAACGTTTCAGAATACGGGCGTCGAGAAAACTGGTTTCAAAACCCAAGTGGATATTGGAAATAGCTTCTTTGTTGAAGCACAAGTTACAGATGCTTCGAAGATATTGCTGAATGTTGGTTTGGGACATTACGTTGAACTCACTTTGGATGAAGCTCTAGTCGTTATAAATGTACGAATCAAGCTTCTGGAGAGACAAATTGTCAATTTACGACGATCAATTGCGAGGACCAATGCTCACATTAAGTTAATTCTTTTATGTATAAGAGATATAGAAGGGTTTACGTAAAATATTCAAATTTTTTCTGTTTCTACAAAAAATCTTGCAATACATTAGAGGCGAACTAACATGAAAATGTTAGGTTGGAAAATGCAACCTTATCTTTCTTATAAATAAAAATAATGGATAGTTATCATTACGCTTCTGTACAAATTTTATTTTTATAAATTCCGACATAAACATAACATGTATATGAAATAAATGTGATTCACGAGGTCTCATCTCAAACAAAGTATTCATATTCTTTCAACGTAAATATGCCATGCGAAGAAAAGTACGAAGATTCTCGAGAAATTCAGTATGACCTTGATCGAATATACATTCGAAAGTATGTCTCGTGATAATCTCGTGTCTACATGGAGAAAACCAGGTCACTAGTAAGACGAAAATCGCGAATTAAGTGACGCATACGAAAGTAAAACAGTTCCACAATAATGTTCTATAACTTGAACAAAACATTTGAACAACTTGAAATTGAAACATTTCAACTTGCTAACTTTTAAATAGACTCCTTCTCTTAGCATATAAATTTATTTTACAGATTTAGATTCAGATAAGTATTGCAATGTGATGAAATATATTGAAGTTTTCAAATTTACGTGGATTGTTCAGATTTATTAACGATTCTATTCATTTTATGGAACGGGTTAAAAAGATACATGTTAAAAAAAATACAGGTACACAGTATGTACTTTATGAAAACACGTTTAAGGAATTTTGTCTGGAGCATTATTGAGACATAGACATGTCTCAAAAGTACATCCTCTATTCTATTTATTAGGTTTTAGATGCAATCACTTATGCAGATGCGTGTAAAAGTAGCCTTCTTAGCATTTTTCCCCTATTCTTCTTTCATATATGCATCTTATATCTGGTGGCTTAAGTTGTACTATACTGCGTACAAGTTAAAAACTTGCACGATATGCTTCAAGTATATTTATCATTACTCTTATGCATATATTATCCGCCTCTATTAGGCATAAAGAATATTTACCAATTCACTAATTCATTCATACTAGCTCTTCACGATCTTCCGAGAAACCTCAAAAGTTTTTCAAATGTTCTCTTCATAGTCGATGATTGCGGTTTGGAATAAACCAATTTCTCCACTTATCACAATATTGTTAAATAATTATAATATTTAAAATAATCAAAATAATTATAATATTTAATTATAATTTACCTCACGCACATATTTGCTTATTTTATATTTTTATATGTTTTATAATACATAGTTCAATTATTAAACTAATTGTATCTCGTATAATATAAAATTTTATATTTATAATTAGTAATTAAAATTTTATATTTATAATTAGTAATTAAAATTTCATGTATCTTTCTTATCTTTTGTTTGAGAGCGCTACAATATAAAAATACGCCATGATAATTGGTATGATATAATACGACATTAATAAATTATCTGTGTAATAAATTATCCTAAAATTTACATTTTTAAAAACAAATGAAAATAAGATTTAGCGGCTGTAGGAACATTTGCCACGTCATCTCTATATAGTCTACGGATCATAAGCTTTACCTTCTGTTGATAAAGTCATCATATCTTTTATTGGCAATGTTTATGTTTTATAGCTTTCTGTAGTAATTAATAAATATAAATGTTAAAGATATAGAATGTTCATAACATCTGTTACCAAATCTAGTCTTATATTAAAAGTAGATACAATATTTTTGCTTTAGCGACTGACAGTAATTATACGATACTCTTCGACGATGCTGTCTCGAAGGTTTCTCTTGAAAAACATAGATGTCAATAAAAAGTTCTAAATTATTTTATAAGAAGTATTGCGTTAAAAATTTTTATATAAATAAAATGCATTTCTTCAAACATATAATAGTCACTATATTTTCTTCTTGTGCTCAGATTGCATCAATAATACAGAAAAATGTGATATATAAAAGTTTCAGCATATTTTAAAGTGATTTAAACTATATGTATAAATATTTTTCAAGATTTGGTTATTAACTATTTTAGATTCATACGTTTTTAACTTTGAAATGAATATGTGCTACCAGCATACATTCGTATTTTAATTTTTACAAAAGTGACTAGAGGAGGGACAGAGAAAGAAATAACGAATTCCAGACACGGAAATCAATTTGTTTGGTTCAACTATGCGAAACACAGTAATTGGATGAACTGATTAGGAATTTCTCATACTAAGATAGGAGGTCAGTTCCGTTGATTCTCTTTCCAATTCAATTCGCGATGTCAAGACAAATATGTACCAAGTCGGTTAATCCACATTTAAATAACTACATACGAAGAAGCCGTATACCTACACTACGCAGAATATAATTCGCCATGGCTGTATACTTATACTTACCGAAGCTTTCGCGCGACATATTGTTCAATATTATTACTGTTATCACTTATAATGCATCTGTATCTGTTGATTTTAACTCACATCATAGCATGATTGCTTCGTGATAATAATATAAATAATTAATATAGAAAATACTGCTAATTTATTTATATATTCTTCGTTGTATATGAAATGATAAAAATACGTAAAAAATAAAATTATACCTATATTATTCTGTTAATTTTGTCCTATTTGTCCGTAATATACTCATGTAATTTATTCGAAATATATTTACTCGTGTAAAATTAAAATATCGCTGAAATTATTAATTGAAATATGAAGTAATATAAAATGTGAAATGAGTATATATCTTGATATTATTTGTAGCAAAGATACAATGAAAATAATCTTATTATTTTCTCGTTTTTTATTTAATGTATATTTTTGCTGTATTTTATAATACAATCGCGCACAGGGTGCCGTGTTCGCTAATTACAACCCTGTCCTTTAAGCTGACGTTAGGGGTTCTTGGCCTGCAGATGAGCGTAAAGCGCAGTAGGTTACCAGCGCGAAGGGTTGTACCAGCACCCAATATTGGTCGTACGAGTGTTTCTTTCTAAAATGTCGGCGGACATGTACAAATTCGAGTCGCAGTGTGGGAAGAGCTTGGCTAATCCTTCTTCGAAGGTACGTAACTTATTTCTGTCACTTTTTTCTTGAATATTTCGTTACGAAATACAGTTTTTAAAGCTCTATTAAACTAAGAATCTACACCGAGATTATATATACAAGTGCAGAATTTCGTATCGTTATCCATGAAATCTGTTTTTGTTAAGATATCGGTAAACCTCACTCTACGTGGAATATCTCGTTAATTCAAAGCCAAATCTATCCATTGCGGATATTTCGGTAAAGTGCTGGGCCTCGACAATTAGCCAACAATTGGGCCAATGTTAGTAATCAACTGTCGTTCGATAAATTCAGTGGTCTAATGGAACCGGAGCACGACAGAGCGCTGCTCTGGTGATCGGAAATTGTTTAACATATCGCGGTTGAGAAGGGCTAAATGCTCTCCACCGCCAGTAAATTTAGATATTGAGGTAGATATAATTCGATACGATCGATGCAAGATCAACAATACAACTGAAAAAGAATGATATTCAGAAATTAAAATACTTCAGTCTAGTGATTGAAAGAGTCCAATTTATAATACGAAATAATATAAAATTATCTTTTCTATTAATATAATTATGTTCTCTATCATGCATGCAATGTCAATTTATAAGTATGTATATATCTGACCTATTATTCTACTTTACTATTTTATCACACGCATTCACCAAATTATCGGGTTCTCATCGAATATGATGTTGGCTTTCATGTCTCGTTATTTCGCTATTAATGTAAACAACGATCGATTTATGTCCTCGTTCTGTTGACTTTGCTATCAAGGACTTGAGAGTCATGGATATCTATAACTACCTTGTCAACGATATTTCGGGTAAGTCAGATGGACGAATGGGATATATATATATATATATATATATATATATATATATGATATATATAATATATATCAGATTTATATATGGAAGAAATTCTATAAAAATTAAAGAAAAAATGAAATACAACAACTAAACACGAAACAAATTTACAATGTAACAATATGACAAGATGAAAAATGAAGCTGTTTCTTGTTGAGTATGTTAAAAGATTTCATTATAACCACGTGACTTTTTATATTTTCCTTTGCTTTGCATTGATGATTGCAACCGTACATTTTTATAAACTTAAACATGTTTTTTAAATATTTTGCTACTTTTCGAAATACTCAAAAGTTTCTTCTTCATATTACAGATCCCAGAGTTTCCAACTGGCTTTTGATGTCTAATCCACTTGGTGTAATGCTAATTTGTCTCACTTATTTGTCCTTCGTCCTTTACTTCGGACCATTGTACATGAAGAATAGGAAACCTTATGCGCTTACCAAAATTATGATTTGTTATAATATTTCCGTTGCAACCGCGAGCGCTGTTATATTCTACGGTGTTGGTATAATCAATTTAATGCGTTTCTTTCTTTTCTATTTTTATATCTAAATTATATGTCATTTGTCTTTTAGATACTTACATCTGGTTATACAACACATCTTTCTGTGGGATGCGAGCCTTTCGTCATTTCAGACGATCCCATGTCGATCAGCGTAAGTAAAATCTCTGATCCCAAGTCGATCAGCGTAATTAAAATCTCTGATGAAATAAAATATTATATATTATCATTCAGTTCTAGATATAAAAATGTCTAGAATAAACTTCAGTGAAATCAACATTTGTAATATCGAAGGAAACAAAATATACGGGGGAAGAGTATGATTTAATATAATGACTTTGTATGTAGAAACTTTTATTGCAGATGGCTCGATGGGTATGGTGGGTACTGATTTTAAAAATCACCGAGCTCGGAGACACAGTGATTTTCATATTCCGCAAAAAGTATAACCAAACGTCATTTCTTCACGTATATCATCACACGGCGACTCTCATTCTGGCTTGGATCTCTTGCAAATATGCGCCTGGTACGAGCCAAACGGCAAAAATAATATCTTTCAATGCAAAATCCATAACTTAATTGAAAAGTTACTTATTATAATCACAATCAAAAAGCGTGCAGAAAATAATGAGCTGATGATGCACAGGTGGCATGTGGACTTTTATAATGTTGCCCAACTGCGCGGTGCACGTAGTTATGTATATGTACTACCTCTGCGCCTGTTTGGGACCGAAGGTGCAGAAGATGATCGTTCCTTGGAAGAAATATGTGACAAGTTTGCAACTGGTACGCATAAATCTTCTGAGAAATATTGCCAGTTTCTAAAAACAATTTAGGTTCTTACGTTCGTTACGATCGAATTTAAGAAATGCAGCGTGCTCGACGAACAGATGACGCACGAAAAATAACGTGTTTCACATGATATGTTCATATACGAGGACTTCATTGTGGTTACAGCGCTTCCATAACTCGATAACTGGCTTTTCACGAGGGATTGAAAAGCTCCGTAAGCGCTGCTTGCAGAATCACACGTGTTCTCGTCGAATCCCAATTCGGTTTGCATTTGAGCGTAACGGCGGGGGAATGGGGAGACGGGTGGACGAAGGCTCGCGGTACCGTTTTTAATTAAATAATCCGTTACCAGAGAATTTTTATTTCCGGCGATATCGACGGAACGATTTATCGGGTTACGTGGTTGTTTAATTTCGCGCGGAGCTTTTGCGCTCTAGAATCCCGGTCAGAGGTTGGACGAGAGAGGGCAAAATTACGTGCGCTTTTTTGCATGTGTTATATCGAGCCTGTCGAGTGTATATTGTATGAATACTACGCGTCCTTGCTGCTTTTTCTTGATTCGTCGCGAATACCCGATTAAGCGCACTCTTTCCGCGGAGAGCAAACTGTAAATCCCAAAAATAAACGTCTCACCGATGTAATTCCAGCTAAGTGTAAAATTGCGTGGAGGAAGTGTTATTCTACTTTATTGCATTTTCTAAACATTTCACTGTTAAATATTGGAGGGTCAAATTTAAACCAATTTCTTGAGTTAAATAATATTTAGTTATTTTTAACTACCATGTGTGTCAAAATTTACTATTTTAACACAAAACATGTGTTTAAAAAAACAACCACATCTAATCAACCCATTTAAAACAATATTAAGTCATTTTTTACTAAAACAAAGGTTTTAACGTGCACATAATAAAAAATAAACTAAATTTTAGTCAAATTTAATACATTTCTTAAGTTAAATTATTTAACTCCATTACATTAGTTAAATTAACGACATATTTAATAGGAGCAGTGACGACTTATAGGAATGGTTAAAAATAACTCAAATTGAATATAATTTGACACTAGGGATTTGACAGTGTTCCTCGCGTTTGCTGCGCAGCAGAGATCAATACAATATTCTTCTGTTTCAGATCCAATTCGCTATCATGGTGGCCCATACGTTTCAAGCGCTTCTACCAGCTTGCGAGCCAACGCGGAAGCCATTAGCATACATTTACATGTCCCAAGTCGCCTTCATGTTCTATATGTTCTTAGACTATTATAGGAAGTCGTATTTGAGAAAAAAGATAGAATAGCGAGCAATTTCTTACGATGACGCGATAGTCGTCTGAAGGAGGATGAACTTCGGGAGATCCGCGTGTTCATGGAGAGTTTAAATGAATATTATATCGGGCGAGCAAAGTTCCTTTCCTAAATAAGTTAATTTATAGTCAGTTTGATAAATAGAGACGCATGCAAATTCTCGATAACTTTTAATAATATCAGGAATGCACATATATTTCCCATAGGGGTCGCATAATTTCGAGAGTGCGCCGTTAAAATTATCATTTTGAGTTTATCGACGCGCTGCATAATATGTGCGCACATATAATTAACCTAATGAACGTTTTTGTACTTTTTTAGCGGAGAAAATGTTGTTGAGAGTCTTGATTTTTCATTTCGTCGATATTACGAGGCCTCGAGACCCTGCCGATAATTTCATTGGATATCATCGTAACCTTTGTGAAACGAGTAACAAATAAAAAATAAAAAACAACGTGATCCAAAGATTTTCCGCAAATTTTTTCCACATAATCAAGGAAAGGACTAGAGATGAACGAAGAAGGTGGAGTGCCCCGACGTAGAATGAAATATGCGCGCTGTTCGAGGTGAGGCAACGAAAGAAAAAGAGTTTAAAAGAGATATGCATGGAACGAGTCGCCGTACGAGATGAGATGTGTTACGCCGCGTTATGTCAGCTTGGATTTTATTCGCTGGTCCATCCGCCGTCGAATTTCCTCCTTTTCCCCTTTTCGATCTGCCGTGTATTATACAATGTTTCGGATTACGACGGTGTCAGCGTCGCGGATCAGATATGCCAGATTGGTACTACCGTCGCGTTCTTTCCATCCTTTACGTTATGATACTTGCCCATCCATCGGGCATCAATATTCCAGAGTGCTAACCATGAAACCGTGAAGTATCATGAAATAACACTCGGGAAAAAGTTTTAATTTCTGCTACGGTATCCGAGGACGCTTGCTCGCAAACCAACACGATTGCTCACCGTATCGTCGTCATCGTCGCGTCGCGAACGACGCAGCTTTGTTGTTTGAGGATATATAGTTTTTTCTGTGGCCCTGAAACCATCGTAATGCAATCTCATTGTCCCTCATACATACACACACATACACACACATATGTGTATATATATATATATATATATATATACACATATAGTCAAGTATATTGACGTCGCGTTCTCCATGCAGATACGAGTACCCAGGAGGGCCGCATTACCTTGCTCGACTGTTTTCCCGGCCGACTGACATTAGCATAGCGGATTAGTGCGTCCGTGGCTTTAAGTCGACACGCATGGCCTCACGCCGATAAGACTTTATTAACACCGCCTGTATTTATCCCATGCTTCAAGCGGCGACCCCTTTCTGCATAGTACGTCTTTCCCTTTATAGATTGTCGTCATGTATGCGATATGCTAATCGCTCTCGCTAAGGGTAATAGCTTCGTGTATGACACTTAATGTATGTTATTATCATTATCGCTTACCATTTCTCGCGGACGCATTTAGTATAATTATTTTATAACACACTGTCCACCTCTCTCTCTCTCTCTCTCTCTCTCTCTCTCTCTCTCTTCGTCCAGATTAATCCACTCGAGAGACATTTATTTGCGATTACAACAAATTGTTGATTATTAATTGCGAACGAGTGACGAGTAGCCGCCCATTTCGTATTGGATGTTTACGTAACGTACTCAACGCAATAATTGCCACGCTTATCCGCTATTTATTTAGCGTGAGTAATCGCTGCTTGGTGCTGAACATACTGAAGCGGCGCGTTGATTTATTTACTCTGGGTGGTCGGGGTATAAGGGATCGAGGGCGGCGTACTAAGGGTGTACTTGGGTCGGCATACGAAAGAAAGGAAGGGCTCGCGTCGAAAGTACGAAGGGTGGATTATCGAAGTTAAAGTTTCATCGCTACCTTGGCGCCGCTCTGCAGCCCGCTTATTTATCCGGAGCTGCTCCGGATCGTTCAACTTGCGCGTTACGCGATATCGTCTTGCCTGTTTTTAGCACGCTATTTTAACCAACGCGATAAAACAGGAAATAAAGACGCGAAGAAATACGAGGCCAATAACTCGCGTATCTCAGAAAAATGATCCCTTGTTTATATATGTTCGTTTTTTACATTACATTTTATTTATATGAAAGGAAACGGGCGTTTTTCTGAACAAAAATTTGTAGTTTGCAAAATGACGTATGATGTAACAATTAAGATACACGACATTCTGATCGTCGATTGGTCTCAAATAAATTTAACATCCATGCTGAAATTCTTGCCGAATGCCTACTTGTAATTCATCGTTGTGAAATACGGAGCGGTAGCAGCTCTACGTGTCGGCGTGCAATAGTTCCGGCTATCAGAAAAAAAAACCAAACTAGAGAAGACCCTTTCGTACGAAATGTATGACCGTCCTGGCACCTATCTCGTCTCACCGGAGAAGATTCATTTTTCAGCCTCCGCGGGGCCGGCCTCCAGTCAGAAACGTGACCCGACGCGGTTCGCAACCGCAACTTCTAGGGAATATTTTGCAAGTTTCAAGTTGCGACGTAGGTAGATGCGTTCTATTAGTACGAAAGAAGAGCGTCGTTTGCGACTATTTCGGGAAGGGAAAACTCCACTAGCCTGTCGTGCTTGTTGTAAAGTAAAGAGGAACTTTCGACCATACTGGAACACATTTCAAAATAAAGAAACAATTTCCGCAAATAGAAAATTGCACATAAAAGTGAACATATATAGAAAAGAGAAAATTACCACTTTGCAATTGACTATGGTAATTTACACCTGTTTTACACAATTCGATAATGTTGGTGCGGCTCTTTCACGAAAATTGCTTATTTTTCTTTTACATTTGATCCTTTTTTTAGACACTTCGATTTTATTTTATAATTTCATAATTTCATTTTATTTTATAATTATAAATTTAATTTATTTTATTATATTTTGTTATTTATTTTATTATATTTTATTATTTATTTATTTTTCATTATTTATTTATTTTATAAATTTTATAATTATAAAAATTTTATTTTTATAAAAGATTTTATAAAAATAATTTTATAATTTTATAATTTTAATTAGTAAAAGTTGTATTTTTAAAAAATAAATATTCCGAAATTAAAATTTTGATTATTAACACAAAATTAAATAATTTTTACAAAATATAATATCTTTAAGTATAAAAATTTAGATGTAGAATATGTCTAACGTTTTATAGTCTTTATTTTCTCCCTCCTGTTATTATATATCGTCACGCAAGCTAATAGACCCATTCCTTCCTCTCCTAATAATGTGATGTAATTATTGACGTAATTGTTGAATATACAACTTAAAATACGCGTATTGTGTATTTTAATTGCAATTTATGTGCAATAATGTTGCTTGAGAAAAATCTAGAAATCAATGGCGCTTTGTAGAACGTATTTATTTGGTTTTGTTTAATTGCATAAAGAAAGATGGCGGATATATTAATACGCATCTGTTGTATCAATTGACTGGTACAATTTTACAAATGTATTATTTTCAAATTATTCGCATATGTTTCGTATATTCTCGAGAGAAGTTCGTTTTAAAAACTCAAATATCGCGATATCGATTCCGCTATCTGTAATTAGTGAACGCTAAAGTACACGGCGTACAATGTACGACAGAGGTGGCACTTCTTTTTCGAAAATTCTAATACTGCTCCTGGTATCATTACTGCTGGCTATATGCGTGCCTCGTGACTCTTCGGCGGCCAATTCCGTAAAATTTAGAAGGTAACACCGGCACATAGTCATCGTTCACATATTACGATCCTCCGTTACGACCGCTCGGTATACGAACGTAATTGGTGAATATGTGTGAGTATGTGTGTGTAGTATCTACCGGGACGACATTTCAGACCGGTGCAGATAGCGTCGGCTCTTTGGCACAGTACCGACAATGGTTCAAAGGCTTGTTCGAATTGTCTGTCATTATCGTATATCTCTTTTCGTGACGATGTCTTGCGGCCTGCTACTTACAGCATCGACTATGCGGATCAATTTGTAACAGAGCATGAGATCGGGTAAATAATGATTGAGTTGATGCAATCAAGTGGTGGGAGGAATACTCCAGTTCGCTTCGTTCGTCATTGAACAACTTGTTTGTGTATTTTATTAAGTTCTTATGCCGGATTTAATTATATTCAGCTTGGACTCGAAGCAGGTATTCTCGTCATGTTCAAAGTATTATAAACTCGTCGTTTTGATCCGTAACTCTTTGATGATACTCCCGCAGTTTTGAGAACAATTGAGTCGGATTGAATATGCGTGACGTTATTGATCTCGCTTCATTAAAAATCCGCAGATGTTTCGAAGCGGTCTTTAAATCTCGTCGAGACAGAGTTTCGGGGATGAAAGATTATACCGTATATTGAGGAAATCGTAACGCGCGCCGGCACGTAATACAGCAGTCCACCGTATTTATGATCGGTGTAAAACATCGGGGCTGGTCCGCTCGAAGCGAGAAAATTTCACGGCAACACGTGGCACCGCAGCGGAATTTAATAACACCGCGTACGGACCCGGGACCGTTTAGAATTTAATACTAATTTAAAAGAGATTAGTTCCGTATCCGGCGCCAGACAAGGATCACTACCCTCTCAGGCAGCCCTTTCGCAGGACGTGAATTTCAGGGACAATGAGCGAGCACAGGAGCGTAGTTCCCACGGGGGAAGCGGCTTAATTAATTGAACTTAATTTAAATTTAATTTAATTTCCCCTACCTCTTCGCACCTCGTTGGTAGCACACGCGCCTGTCGCGCGTTTTGACTGCCGGCGCAATAGGACGATGAAAAGAGCGACTGTATATTCGAACAAAAACATCGACCTTGTACACTATCCAAATGTTGGTGGTGCATTTAGTACGCGAAATAAATCATTTTCTCGGAAAATCGGTGCGCTGTCCGCGGTGACGCAATGTATTCGCTCTGTAACGTATCATCATGTGCTCGCAGCGAATTATTAAGAATTATTATTATATTATCGTCGGGGAATTTTCATTTATCATTGAAGCTACGCGAGTCGAAATTTGGACTCTTTTTTCGATCGCAATATTTCATTTAATACTCACTTTGCTGCTCTAAAGTCTCTACATTAATCTTTTTTTTATATTTAATCTGCTACCAGCTTTACCGAGAAGTCCTCTTTAGAACATATAAATAGCATTTTGTACATTTTCTACCATTTAAAGGTGCCAAGTAAGACTTCAGTTTTTACGCGTATTTTCGAACTGAAATTTAGAGTCTGCTGTAAGTCTCAAAAGTGCTAACTTTATTTTTTAATATTCCTTACTTTAATGCTAACCGATTTATTAGTATAACTCGATTAGAGAAGTCGAAGGTTTCGTATTTTCTGTGTGCAGTCTAAACGTGAAATTTACAAAAAGAACATATTGAGATAATTTTTGTGATAATAAATAATTAAAAAATTAAAAGTGAAAAAAATTTGAATATTAAATAATTCTTGCGAGGTTCTTTGAGCTTCTTTAACACTTTTAACAC